GTGCTCGCGCGCCGGGGCGTTGGGCTGTCGGCTGCGCGCCGTGCCGACCCGCAACGGTCTCATGCTTCCTTCTTGTCTGCAGGCTGGCTCAGGTGCTCCGATCACCTGCTGCTTGCGGGAACAGGAAAGCAGCAACTGAAGATCGAGGGGGACTTTTGGTTTACTCAGATGACAAGAGACAATTTTGGTTCCCCAAAAGCCAAGGAAACAAAGCTGTCAGGCTTTAATGGTAGCTTGTCTCCCTCCTGCAGCATGTTTATGGGCAAACAAGCTGCAGATCAGACCAGGCAAACAGCAGCAGGTGAGGCCAAATAACAATAATTAATAATTAATGGCAAATGTGGCTATGTTTATTCTTCTTGTATTGAGGCAACGTTGTCTAATGGATGAAGCACTGTTACAGGACTCAAGAGACCGGCTCAGTTTCCAGCACTGCCGCTAACCTCTGCCTGATGCTGGGCCAGCCACCCATTCTGTTTCTCCCTTCGCATTCTGTGTGCCCCGCTGCTGAGGGTGCCAGCACCCGGCGACACGGGCAGCCCTGTCCCACGCCTGCATGTGCCGAATGCGACGGGGCTCTGGCCTCGGCTGAGGCCTCGAGGCAGAAGAGGAATGCCAACGTTCATGTTCTGTGACGGGTGCCCGGTGCCGGTGCCTGCACGGTTTGCTTGTGGCACGGAGCTGGGCTCACCTGGCTGCTCTGGGCATCAACCTTTGCAGCGGCAGGCTCTGGGTTACAGCTCTCCAGGGGATTTGTTTCTGGCAGTAGCATCATTCCTAAAAATGCCAGTACATGTCTCAAAAGTGTCGTGGTGTCTCCATGTCATCACCCTCCTGTGCATCGGCATCCATCCGTGCCTTCCCACCGCCCTGCCCTGCCCCTCCCCGCACGCTGCCGCTGCGCATGGGGCGACTCGCAAACACGCCGGAGCTGTATCGGACTGATCTCCAGCCCGGTTTTCCATAGGCGCCGGTGTTAACTCGCACTGGTGCCAGCTGGGTTTGGCTCCTCCCCAGATGCCATGTTTCGTGGACATGCGTGGTGAGGCACGATTCCCCTCTCCTGCATGGTTGTTCAGTCCCTCCTGTGTGTGCAGGTCCCCAGCCACGCATGCGGCTTGAATGCACGCCACCGCATGATTTCAGGCATGCGCAAATATGCGAGTATATAAATTATGCAGAGCTCTTCGTGGACAAAGTGTTTGATACTACAAGCAACACCAGCTCTCCAGGGGTGTCTGGTTTGGGGGTGGCCCTTGCTGCAGCAGAACCCAGATCCGCTGGGTACCTGGACCTGAAGTGACACACGCCTTGGCAGTAATGCATGGATTTTTGTAAAACATGCTCTGACTTTTTATTTTAAGGGTGTCCCCTAGAGACAAATATAACCTGTTCTGGGACTGTGGAAGAAAGCTTTGAAGTTGCTACTTCCTGGAAATAGCTCTGGTTTCCTACGTCGCATGGTGATGTTCCCATATTTGTTCTTCCCTGAACATCCCTCAACCAGCTACAGTCGTGGCAAACGCAGCGGCTGACTCCAGCAGGGCACCAGTGCATCCTGCCCTTCAGTCCCCTGACTTTGTCCAAGTCTCATGCTGAAAGGAAACTTAATGTACCTCAGCTCCTTTCCATTCATCTTTCAGTCTTAAAACATTAGCCATTTTTATGTAACATGTGCTACTTTTTTATTGCCACACTAACAAGTTGTTGAGCTGTATTTACAATATGCTGATTGTAAGCGCCCCCCAATAGGTCCAGTCTACGTACCCTCCCCAATTAATTTTCGGGTTTTCTGTTTCATTTTGGGCATGTGTATTTCCTTTATAAAACCTGCATCTCACCCTGGTATTCATTGCTGCGTTACTTGCAGCAAGCATCTGAATGTGCATTGTGGAACAGTCATTACCGAGGAACCACAAAGAATGCCAGGGCCGAAATGATCTGGAGCGATGGCATTTGCAGTCCTCTTTGGATTCTTTCAAAACCTGCTTTTTTCCAGAGTTAAATTGATTATTAATTTCAGAACATAACAGCCAAAGAGATTTGGCACAGGTTTCAGCCACAGTTTTAACCTATAAACCTTTATTGCGTCTAAGAACGTTTCTTACTGGAATGACGTATGGGAAAACGGTGCCCATTTCACCCCGGGTGTGATGCCATGGGCCTGATGCGATGCTGCAGTCACCATTGCCTGTCTAACTTCTTGTGTTAACTGACTGTTGCCCATTAAGTAAAAGGAAGTCTGTGCTGGATTAATTGGGTTTGAACTTCTCAAGCTTCCTTTAAGCCAGGGATGATGAAAGTTTAGGGCTGCGGCTTGTTGTGGGGCTAATCCCAAAGCTGAAGTCAAAGAAACTCTTTCCACTCGTTCCTGTGGGCACATACTGGCAAACACAGCTCTCGGCCACCTCAGCATCTCCCGGGTTTCACGCAGGGTATAAAGGTCACGGCTCAGCCCCGCTGGTCCTGTCCGGTGGGACGTGGCCGAGTGCCTGTGCAGAGCTGGGCTGCAGCCGCGATCCCGTCCCGAAGCCGGGAGAGGAACGGCACCCAGGGCAGCGCGACGAGCCAGCGCTTCGCCCTGCCGCCCCCCCTCCGCAGAGTGCCCAGAGGAGACTGGGAGGGGAAGCTGGTCACAGGTCCAGACAGCGATGCTGCGGACAGTCCTTAGCCTTCCAGGAGACCAGCCCAAAACCTTGGGTTTAATTAGAGTGGAGCTGGGAGGCGTGGGAAAGCAGGCGAGAGCAGAGTTCAGGCTTCTTCCTTTTTTTTTTTTTCATTTAGTTTAGTTTCATCACCCCACCTCTCTTCTTTTATCGAGGAAAATATGAACCTAACTGAGCTATCCCAGCCGGCCGTGCTGACATCTGCGGATGGCCGGGCGTGGGTGCTGGGGGCTAGAAAGCTGCCAGGAGAGTCACCCAGGGGCTTCCCTGGCTCTGGAGTCTCTCAGCCACGGTCTCCTCTTCTCTCTCCCTTCCTTGTCTCCCAGTGCCCATCCCCTCGAAGGCCAACGGCACCACCATTTCCACGTTGTCAATGAACAAAGATGGCCTGATCGGAGGGGTGACGAATCCCAACGAGGTCTTCTGCTCCGTGCCTGGCCGCCTCTCTCTTCTCAGCTCCACCTCCAAGTACAAGGTGACCGTCGGGGAGGTGCAGAGAAGGCTCTCGCCCCCCGAGTGTCTCAACGCCTCTCTCCTCGGCGGAGTCCTCCGCAGGTAAGCTGCTCCTGAGAGCCCCGGGCAGCCCAAGGACGCAGGGCTGCACCGCGCGCTGAAATGCAGGGGGTAACGCCGAAGCAAGCTTTTTGTTCAGCACCGGCTCTTACCTCTTAGATTAACGGAGATGAGAAATTACTGGTGTGTGCTATATTGGGGAATAGCATTTTTGTTGCTTTTTCTTCTTTCCTTTCAAACCTAAAAGCTTAAACTGGAATTACAGTTATTTTAACATTAATTACATTGTAATTTTTTTCCTCTCCTTGTTTTCTTTTTTCAGAGCAAAATCAAAAAATGGGGGTCGGTGTTTAAGGGAAAGGTTAGAGAAAATCGGACTAAATCTACCTGCAGGAAGGCGCAAAGCTGCCAACGTCACCCTGCTGACATCCCTTGTGGAAGGTAAGAGTCGCTCTCCACTCCCGCGGAGGATGGGAGTGCCGAAACTTCAATACCCTTCATTTGCAGCTTTCCACAAACGAGAGCACTTAAAACAAAGTATGCAGCGGTCACCACTGACCGAGACTGGAAATAGCCCCGTGTAAGTCTCCATGCTGATTCAAGCACGTCTGTCTTCCGAAACTCAGACATTTCTGTCGGACCAGTCATAGCCCTTTAGGAAAAGGCGTCCACAGCCTGAACGGGGCTGCGAGCTTCCTTTCGGCTACAGCTAAGCGTACCGTTCACTCCTGTGAACTCGTTCTAACAATGCTTAGTCAGGTTCACAGAAAACAAATACAAAAAAAGCTTGAGTAAAGAATTTAGCAGCTGTTCTGTAGCACTGTGCACCCACTTAGGACACAACTGAGGTGCTGCCAACCGTGCCGCCCTCGGACAGCATCGACCTGTTCTGTCGAGGCTCCATCACCGCACTCAGGTCCGTCTCTTGTCTCCCGTAAGAAGGAGACGCCCCGTGCCTGAGCCCTGCCCTCCTCCCCTGGGACAGCAGGGGACAAGTGAGACATCGAGGAGATGCCGCACAGCTCTGAGGTCTTGCAGGTGGAGGTGAAGTTTGAAGTAGCAGTCCTCAGAGCGCGGCAGCAAGGGCTAAGCTGTGGAAAACGTGCTGCGGGCAGCACAGCCTCGGCAGGCAGCGTGCGACCTGCCCTGACGTGCGAGGTGCCCCTGCTTAAAGCCGCTTGTTCATTTGCTCCCCTCCTACTTTTTGCGCTATGGAAATGATGATGTCGCCACTGCATCTTTGGAGGAAAGGACACGGGATGCAAACAAATGCAATGACAGCTCCGACTCCCTTCGAGCTTTGGAATCCATTGTGTTTGCGCCCAGCGTGTTGGAGGCAGCTGCCTGCAGTTTCTGAATAGAAAATCATCTCCATTGTTGCCAGCAAATTAAATGACCCGCTTCATTAGGCGGAGGTTGTTACTGAGGGCAGTTGGTTCGTGCTGAATGAAAGGCTGATTTCCATTAAAAGAAAAGAAAGAAAAGAATGAAAGAAAGAAAGGAAGGAAGAAACGTACATTTTGATTTCAGGTGGCTGCTAATGTTTTGGTTACTGCTCACCAGCTCATAGTAAATAAAAGAGTGGTGCCATGTGTGCTTGATGGATATAATTTCCTCCTGCACATAAGTGTTACGGTACTGGGAGATGTTGCACCCAGAGGAAGGTGCTATTGCATTGTCATTACTCAGCACGCAGAAACTGGCTTGTGCCCCTATTCCCCAGGCACCCTCTTTCTTGGACTTTTGCTGTCTTGGTTTAATTTGCTTTCTCCCCTCTGCCTTCCCAATGTCTGTTTGTTTAGAAAAAAACACTGGGTGTTTTTTTGAGTACTAATGATATACTTCTTCTTACACTGACCCACAGCTATTCATATAAATGGGGGAGAATGTGTACCGGGGAACCCAGGGAGCACTGCGAGGGCTGCAGGTGGAAACACAGGTTCCTTTGGGAGCCCTTGCCATGTACACCGAGCACTGGCCCTCTCTTGGGCACCTGCTCCGTGGGAGCAGCTCCATCATGGACCCAGGGGAGCAGGAGGGCTAGATTTCAACTTCAGAAACATCCTTAAGCTCTCAGAAAGAGGTGTGCATTCAGATGGGCTCCTGCCCCACGAGTGCTCTCCTCCAGCCTCTCCTCCCCTGGGCTCTGACTTGGTGTGGTCTTAACACCACTTTCAAAAGCTGGACGGCCTTGTCCCCTCCGCTGAAACCTCTCTAAGCCAGCATCCAAATTGGTTTTCAAACATTCAGCTGTGTAGCCACTCGCACACACTCGTGGAGGAAATAAATCCTGGCTCCAGCCTTGGCTCTCACCGTGAGGACACACAGCCCTTTTGTATTGTTGCAATAACTGTTTTTCAGCAGCTATTACTTTCTGATCGTTTTTTAACACACAAACAACTGCAGTTCTGATTCTTTAGGTTTACCCTATTTGCTCCTTCTTTGGAGGAAGAGATAAAGTCGAAAGTATTATCGTTATACGGGAAGGACAGACACTTTCCCATAACATGGCTTCACAGACTGAGCTCCAGGAGCTGGGGAGACTGTGATGAGATCTAGGTTAATGCTATTAGGATGGATGGCCTAATACGTATGAGCAGCAGGGGGGCAAGTCAAATTAGCTCTGTCTACCCAACCAGGATTTCGGGTGTTGGGCATGATCAATTGCCATCAGCTCTGATTATTTCCACGGGGACGCCTGGGGATAGATCAATTCCATCAATGGGTGGGCATTTCCACAGGGTGATGGATACGCTGCCTGCGCGTCCAGCCCGAGGGCCCCTGCTCACCGCGGGAGGGTGTAAACCCCTTCCTTCTGCCTGTTTCTCACATCCCCGTTTCGTCTAGCAGTCATGGGGCTAAGGTCACTTCTTCACCCTCCAGCCCCTGTTTAAATCTCTGCTCAATTTGGAGAGGCCAAGCAGGAAATTTTGGAAGAAGTAGGGAGAGAAAGATGCAGCGAGGGAAGCGTCCAAGTGAGAAACACTTCTGTCACCCGGAGAGCTCTTGGGTGGCAATGGAGAAAGGAAAGTGCTCCAGTCTCAGCAGAAATAAGCCACATCAGTGAGATGGCTGAAGTTGCCACAGAAAGTGCTCCCCTTTCACATGGGTGTTGACATGGCTTGTTTATCTGTCCTGCTTGTAGGTGAAGCCGTTCACCTGGCTCGGGATTTTGGGTACGTGTGTGAAACAGAGTTCCCAGCCAAGGCAGCGGCAGACTACCTGTGCCGACAGCACTCCGACCCCACGGAGCTCCACACCAGGAAAAACATGCTGCTGGCTACCAAGTGAGTACAGATGGCTATGAGCCACTGCTGCGTAGGTACCCCCAGCCTGGAAGGGCAGCGTTAGCCCTGAAAGCTTACTCTTCTGTGGGAAAGAGATGGTCTCATGTGCTGCATGCAGATCTGAAAGATGTGCAGCAAGATGAATAATTTGCATGGATTTAAGGGCTCGCTCCTACACGGGAGAGGTTAACCTAACCCCAGGGAGCATCCCGGCACTGTCACGCGTGCCCCTTTGAAGCAGCAGCCCCCACCCCAGCTCTGCAGGCAGGGGCTCTCCCCAGGCTGGGGCTGAAAACTCCTGGAGGGGAGGCAGCCGCTCGGGCAGGGAGCAGGAAAAGAGACCTCAAACACACCTGTGTGCCTGCAGCTTTCCAACAGCACGTATAGTAACATGAACCTCTCTCTTTCAGGCAAATTTGTAAAGAGTTTGCAGACTTGATAGCCCAGGATCGCTCGCCCTTGGGGAACAGCCGCCCCTCCCTCATCTTAGAGCCCGGTGTCCAGAGCTGTTTGACTCATTTCAGCTTGATAACCCACGGCTTTGGGGGCCCAGCCATCTGTGCGGCGCTCACCGCCTTCCAGAACTACCTGGTGGAGTCCCTTAAGGGGCTGGATAAAATGTTCATGAACAGCACAGGGAACGGGCACACGGCCGGAGACTCCAAAGCGTCAGAAAAAGAAGTGAAGCATCGGAAATAACGTGCTGTCTCCCTCCCTCTCCCCTGTGGGAACTTTCCCCGGTCGCATTAGATAGCGCTGGGGGGGAAAGATGATCCAGTGCACTGTTTTCTGAACTGCTACATTTGAACTTGGGATGAAACTCGTAAAGCAAAGACAAGACAAAAAAGAAGATTTAAAAAATTTAAGAAGAAAACAACTCTAATGGACATAGTGAGATTGGGAAAATAAGCCAGGTTAATGGCTTTTGCCTTTTTTTTTTTTTTTTTTAAAAATCGTGGATGCAGGAAGCCAAGTCATGTGCAATTTTATTTTGTTTTGTTTTTTAAAAACCCATAGGGAAATCCTGACATGCTCCAGGAATTTGTTCCAACTGAAAAACTGAGAAGAAAGAGCAAAAGCCTCATCAATGCAAGAACCAGAGGCAGGAGCAGCAGAGGGCAGGGAGTTGGATCACTGCCTGTACCTGGATTTATCAGCTGGTTTTGACAGGCAAACACACAGGAAACCTTCTTCTTTCCCCACCTACAGCCCAGTCCTAAAGCCAGGCCAAGAGAAAATTGCCAGCAGAACTGCTTTGGATTTAAAGCAGTTTCAGACTTCGTTTACAGTTTTCAAACTGAGACTCAGCGTGGATTTTCCCTGGGGCTGAGGATCCCTGAGCCGTACCACGAGGGGAGGAACAAACCGCACACTCAATGGTTCCCAGGGCAGGAACCGATGGAGGAGAGCCTTCCCAACTGCTATGGTCACAGCTGGGGATAAAGCAGGTTAAGTTAAACCCAGGACTAATTAAAACTCCACAACCTACAGATAACAGCACACAGGTTTCTAAAATTAATAATAATTAATAAAGCACAAGGAGCAGAACTTGAACCAGGCCAAACTGAACTGTTCGAAATCTGTATATATTTATTTATGTGTAATTAAAATCTGAAAGTTTTAAAATGTCCAGTGCAAGTTATTTATATCAAATTGGTTGTTTTTTGTTTTGCCTTTTTTTTGTTTTGTTTTGTTTTGTTTTGGGTTTTCTTTTTTTTTTTTTTTTTGAAAGAGGACAGTCTTTGGATTTCCTGCCATTAGAAATGAGAATGAAGTTTTGGATACACAAAACTGTAGCATGGACAAGATAGGCTGTGATGATAATGACTATAGAAGTTCTGCAGGATTTTGTACTTGCTGTTGTTTCTCTTAATGCTGCAATAGATGTACAACACCCACACCACAATGTCATTCTCATTATCTTAATAAACCTCTTTTTATTTGAAGAAAGCACCTCCATTGTCTTTGTGAACAAGGATCTTTCTGCCTCTGTGGTTGTATCTTGAAATATTATACAGTTTTAAGAAACAATATCCTCCAGTTTCATGGCTGACGTTTGACTGATCTGTGCAGTCACAAATAGGGAGTTCAGAGAATGACAGGCGCTGGTGTTAATGCCCTGATCTCACAAGCCATCGCAGCCGAGCTGGCCGGCGCCTCTGGTGATGCTGGAGATGAATAGTGAAATGTGTTTGCAGATGTTTCAGAACTACTCAGGATAGTCAAATCTAAACCTGTCTGTGAAGAGCTGCAGAAGGACCTCACAGTATCAAGACAAGGAGTGATAAATTAGCAGATAAAATAATCCTACTAATCTATATGCAGTGAAGCTCTCTAAATTAGCTGCTATGTTTGTGGCGTTATTAAGGATAGGACTCTGAAAACAGTCACCTCGTACTCACAGGAGGTTGGAAATACAAACAAAATTATGGGAACTGTTAAAAAAGGATTAACAAACCAGAAAGCAGATTATACTGCATGACATACATGTGCTTACATGGTATTCCTCTATCTTGAATGCCACTTGCAGATCTGGCCAGCCCAACTAGAAAAGCCATGGAGAAAAGCAGCCAGGGAGATCTCAGGTGGGAACTGACTTCTGTGTGAGGAAAGACCAAGGGATTAGAGCAGCACCACTCGTGAAGGACATGAGCAGTATATGACAGAGGCATGGAAAACAACAGTATAAAAGAATACAAACAGGGAACAATGACACTAAAACTAGAGGCAGGACACCAAATGAAATAGTCAGGAAGCGGGTTTAAATAAATGAACAGAAGACAAGTAAGAAGCCGTGGCATTTCATGGAAGCAGGCATGTAAATGGCTTTTGACACAATGGGAGGGGGATGATTTTAGAGAGCATGTCTGCAGCCTTCCCTACACAGCTAGAGAATAGGCAGATGGACATGGGTCTGAGTCATTACAGCACTCGTTATATTGGACCTTTCTCAGAGTTGTACTCATCAGATTTGTCTGGAGGTTGCAGAACAGGCTGATTGTAACAGAGAAAAACCCAAACTGTCCCAAAAGGGACCACAGGAGGTTAGAAATACAAACCCTTCTCCCTTTCAGAAAAGTGTGAAAGGAAACATTTTATGTACTAATATAATTTGTGGGCATGGCTCAGAGTCAGAAACTTGCATCTAAATACTCCTTTCAAAAGCTTAGGGATGCATTGAAATTGGGAATCAGATTGGAAATGTCCCTTGATATGAAGTTTGTGAAAGCAAAGACCTAAATGACGGGCTCTGCAGGTCTGGTTTTGCTCTGGACCTTCCCAAAGGAAAAGCCAGGGAAAAAGGAGGAGCCAGGGAGCAGAATGGAAATACTAGAGACACATTAGAGGCTTGTTTACATTTACACTTCAAAGCTATTTTGGATAATGCAGGGTGTGAGCCAAAAGCACAAAAACTATTCCTATTTAAAATTATTCCAAAGTAGGAATGCCCTGTTCTGCATCAGCATAATCCATGTTTAAAATGGATTATGATAAAGGAGAGTAAGGTGCTTTTGTGCTACAATACAGATATTTAGGATAACTATCCTGAAATAATTGAATTTGTAGACATCCTCTGGTGCATGATATCAGAGAAGAGCAAACTACGCTCCAATACATGATGAAAGTATATGTGTGCACGCTATAATATACAGGCGTGAAATATAATTTCATAACATAATCATGTTATGAAAGCTTGACTTGGTTAGGGCACTCTTTGAATATCAAGGAATTCTTAGACATAGCAGCTGAAATAATTGAATTTGTAGACATCCTCTGGTGCATGATATCAGAGAAGAGCAAACTACGCTCCAATACATGATGAAAGTATATGTGTGCACGCTATAATATACAGGCGTGAAATATAATTTCATAACATAATCATGTTATGAAAGCTTGACTTGGTTAGGGCACTCTTTGAATATCAAGGAATTCTTAGACATAGCAGCGATGAGCAATACAGACCAAGAATCAGGATATGCCTACAGTAATTACATGCCATGTCCATCAGGTGGAAAAATACCTCCCTCCTCATTTTCCTCTTTGGGTAACTGCAAGGCTTTTGAATGTTTTATGAGGAACAGTCTGGTGCCTGAAAGGCCAGGATGCCACCAATTACCTTTTAATTGGGAGGAAGTTTGATGATTTGGATTCATTTGTTGATTCTGCCATAGATGCTCAAGACTGACGATAGACATGTCACATGGGATCAACCTTCTAAAAGCATTGAGACTTCCACTTCCCAAAATTTTGGACACCTTCATTTCTGCAGGCCCACAGAGATACCTGCAAAGAGCACAGCTTTCAGAGGTTGTACCAGGCCAATTATTGTTGGTAATGAGTTAATACTGGAGTTCCCCTCCCGGTTCACTGTCAAACAAGGCCATCCCCTGATGTGTTCTTTGCCTTTCCATCCTAAGAGGAAAAAAAGGCATTTTACACAATTCATGGCTCAACCCTGATATAAATTCCCACACTGATTACAAATACTATCGTGGGAAAATACGTGGGATTGTGTCAAAGAGTAAAAATAGATTTAGGCTCATGGTTTCTACGCTTGTTATAGAACACTCTGGAATTCCAATCCTAAAGGGGAATTGAAAAAAGAAATCTTTTTTGAATTAATTTTGAATGAATGACAAGTCCAGGGAAACCACATGACAATCCTTGACAAGTGAAAAAGAAAAAGAACATTAACAAAAACTCTTCATTCCCTAACAGTCAGCTATCCCAAGGGTAGACTGAGGTTAACATTGAACTGTGACTCTATACTGTATCATTAACGTAAACAAGCAGAGGTTGTGTTGGCATTCTGCATGGCTTTGGATAGACTAAATAATTACCTTTAAGCAGGCTACCTTAAAAGCAACAGGGTAATAATAGCTCTCCATACTAAAACAACACAATAAACAGACTTTGCTGACCTGTAGTTAATGCATTCTTTCATATATGAGAGAGTCCATTAAATTCCAAACTTCACATGCAGAATCCAAGCAGCCACACCATCACTGAGCAAAGGAAGTTTTTCCTGTTAGTGCAACTGAATCAAAACACCAAAACAAAAAACATTGTCAAATCAGGCAGTAAGACAAATGTTATTTGCAAGGATGACAAAATGCTTGCTTCAGAGATTATTGATTTAGCAGCCTAGACAGATAGCACAGTGTCATGTGCAGCATATGACTATAGCCTTAATTATCCTAACAGACTTTGGGAGAAACAGTCATTACACAGAATCTGAACATGCGGAGCCAGAAGGTATCATTTTGGTCTTCCTGTCTGACCTCTTTTATATTGCACAGAATTCCCACTGTGGCCACCTGAACATCACTGCATTTTCAACAGGATACCATAAATAGCAATAATAATTCCAGACATTGAATATACACCCAAACTTTGACCCCATAATCGCAGTGGTGAAGCATCCCAGTAACCTCTCCAAGGCAGGCAGGCAGCAAAAATTATGCCAGTGTTATTCTGGATGGCTTCTTTGTATGTTTTTATCCTGATACCTTCAGATGCTTCTCATTTGATTCTTTTCAGCAGAGATTATAGCCTGAAATTCAGAAGTATTTCCCATAAGGATAGCTTCATTTTAGTAGCAAAGGTTATAGCCAAAGATGATTTGTTAAATGGAGACAACTCACCTTTTTTTGGGGTGTGAAATGAGTTCAGAGGAAGATCAAGCTATTGCTCCAAGT